ATTTTTACTGTCAAATATTTCAACCTGATGATTTGTTCTTCAATCAACAACTCTTGACGGTAAATTTAATTTTAATTTGTTTGTTTTTTGTAATTAACTGATATGATAATGAAAATTATTTTTACTTTGTCTCTAGTCGTGCCAGATGAAGATCGCATAGTTCGATCGAAACACGTGTAGCACCGAAAATAAAAATTAAATATTTTTTCATCGTCTCTGAGATTTCTTATTTTTTTAAATAATTTTACGATGAACCTGGAAATAACATTAACTAAATTATAGCAAGTATTAGTAGAAGTGTGAGAGGAGTGAGAAAAATCCTGACCATGCTGGCCAGCGAAAATCAGTGAAAGAGCTAGCAATAAATGAAGATAAGGCTAAATATATGATATCACAAGAAACGAACAACGATGCAGACTTATAAGAAGATTACATAGAATGGCTCATGCAGTGATGAAATATGGTCCTGTGTCCTAAAGGGTAATACAAGTTTTCACACTTACGTGAAGCTGCTCAAATCTAGAATAATGAGTAAAAATATAAAGCTAACTATATGTATATAAAAGCCTTATTAGACCAGTGGTAAAACATGGATGCGAAACCAGGACTCTAAAAATCATACACGATCTTCTTAGGACATTTGAATGAAAAGTTCTAGAGCTTTAGAAAATGAGGATGGCTCCTAGAGGGCATTGTTAAGTTTATTAAAAGTTGAAAACTTGGATAGTTAAGGCACGTGGGATGAGTGAGCGATGAGAGGACAACAAGGAGAGTTGCAAATTGGAAGCCAGTGGGTCGAAGATCCGACTGACAAAAAGATGGTACGATGATATAGAGAAAGATTTTAGAAAAATGGGACTTAGGAAATGGAGACGATTGTATACCGAAAGGACAGAATGGAAGATCATGGAGCAGTCTAAAACTCACCAGAGATTATAACGCTAGAAGAGAAATAAGAAAAACGTTATTGGAGGATAAATAGTGTTGTGCAAAACATAAGTTGAAAGGCATTTTTAGTACTTTTTTAATTTTCTTAGCCAAAGGTTCTCACATTATAGGTGTGAATTTTTCCAAAAAAACCACTGTTTGAGAACGATGAAAGATATTTATTTAATTTTTAAATCGGTGCTACGTTACGTTTCGACCAATANAAATCAAATTCAACAGTCAATACGAACCACACACCGAACAGACATTGCCAACGTCAGGGTATGCTAATTAAAATGCCAACTTAAAATAAACATATTTACGAAAAAACACTTATAACAATTTAAGCAGCGATAAAATCTTACTACAACGAAGCCATTACAAACGATACAGTATAATTCAATATAAAAAATTGTGTTAAAATGCCTTTATAGTTCAAAATATGTATAGTACTGTTTGAATTTATAAGAGTGTGCTAATTAACGTGCCAGCAGTGTAGATAAATCAAAATAATAAGATACTGAAGAGAAATGAACTGATAACAGAAAACGGAGAAAGAAAAGAGGTTGATAATAAAAAAGAGACTGTAAATATGGGCAATGTGTACCATGTTATATCGAAATCAAGTAAGGTGTAAAATTTTATGATAGCTGAAATTACGTTCCAATAAAACATACAAACGAAAAAGTAAGTTAAGTTCAAGTTTTTAATCAAAAACAAAAATATGTAATACAACATTATGATGCAATTCCCGTTTTTTATGGAATTTAGGTAAATATAAAAATTCGGTGTAAATTTTTTTCTGAAATAGTGGAAATGAAAGTTTAAAGTTTGTTATACATCATTGTAAAATAGAGACTTTGAGGATTTCCTCCGGACAGTTTTTGACACCCTTTTCTTACAGAAATTCTTCTACCTAACCGTATTAAGTATTAACAGATTGTGATGTATCAAGAAAATAGTTTATTAATTTTAACGCTTGGTTTTTGATAAATGTAAAGAAATAAATTTTAATCAAAGTTCGCTGAGGAAATTAATATGTCTTTAACATAAACGATCACACACAAGTTTTGAAAATAAACAGCCTTCAAAGAAATTTTGCGTCATTCAGCCCTTTTATTTCCTCAGCAGAAGATTGGTAGATTGCACTTATCTATTTTTTTCATTACTCTGGGATTCAAGGTATGATATATTATCATTGGTTTAACTACAAAATTTCCCGATAGATTAATACACATGTGAAGGGTAACACGTTCTTTGCAAAGTTTATAATCTGGTGCTTGCTTCTCAATTTTTGAAATAAAAGATTCTTCCAGTACAAAGCTGTCTCAGCGACGTTCAAAATTGATCTGCTGAAAATTCTCTCTCTTTACTAATTTATGGTATTTTCAGTATATTGATGATGGAGCTTGTTCTCCTTGAAATTTACAGTTGGGAATTCCCCTTATGGAACAAAAATGAAATTCAGTTTTTTTTTAAATCGTGTTATATCAAGACCATGTAATTTTAAATTCAAGTTTTGTATCGTGTAATATCGAATCCATATTATAATAATGACAAATGGTTTACAAATGTCATTGTATATTGAACGATTCCAGTGGATGATTCCACTTGATGATTCCAGTATCCAATTGTTTGATGTATGTAATATATAGTGATTCTTTTCAGAATACACAAGTTAGATACAGTTTTACATACTGACTAGAACTAAAATTTGGTGATTGATTCCAGTATACAGTAATTTTTTCGTTGCGGTTTGAATATAGAGTGGTTGATTTCAGTGTCATGTGAATGATTGCAGATTCTAGTAACAGATTCTAGTGTCCAGAATATAGATATACATATATATGTTCTATAGTGATTAGAATAACAACCTCATGGTAGATTCCAATACATAGTAGATGAATTCATATAGGTATTTGATGCAATATCTATAGTGACTTGTTCTAGTATCCTGATGTTAGTTACAATTACCATGGTGATTAAAATCAGAACTTAGTGGTTAAATACATTATCTAGTGAATAATTCCAGTGAACAGTGGATGAAATGTGCAATGGATAGTTCGAGTGTTGCTTGAATGACCCTTATCTAGTACACTTGATTCCAGTGTCCAGTTGTTAAGTACAATATTTATGGTTTTTATGGTTTCAATATTTATGGTACTTCGTTCCAAAATCTCGTTCAAAATTTGATCTGCTGAATATTCTCCATCTTCACTAATATGTAGTATTTCCAGAATACATTTTGGGCTACCTTTACATCTGCTGGAGCACCCCTTATTGAACGAAAATGACGTTCAATTTTTTGAAATCGTGTTATATCAGAACCGTGCAATATTGAATTCAAGTTTTGTACCATGTAATATCGACTCCGTTATAATAATCGCAAATTTTGTACCATGTATTACAAGTACTGTGTTATACGAGAGAAACCTGTACATCTTATTCTCTTTTTTTAAATTTTGTTTTGTCGTTTAGTTATACGAAGTGCTTTGGACCTATTAGGCCAAACCGTGTGTAACTTTTTTTCCATCTAATTTTTTATCTTAAATGATAAAAACGTTGTAGGTAATTGATTTCAATTATGTATAAAGTGTTCCCGGGGAACTTGAATTCAGGGAAAGTCTCTCACTTTCAAGTGCTCATTCCTTCGGTTGCTTTTGAATAAGATCCTTGGTTTGCCTTCTGTAGAGATGTTCCATTTTAGGGTAATCCCTGTTTTATTCATTATTCGTTTTATTCATCTCCATTCGATATTTTCAGCATTAAATCGTTGAAGTTCCTTAACACTTAAATCCAGAAATGTTGCGTAGACACATAAATCATATTTCCCCATCTAGAAAGCTAAGCCGTTTATATAAACTTTATATCATAATTTTAAAAGTTCCGTTTAAAATCCTGCTACATAAAAATATACCACGTGTATATTATTTATCATAATTTGAATCTGTTAATATAATTCTCTTTGAACATTCCGTATACGGTATACATATATTTTTCTAGTGCTCGACACAAAAAGTATTCGAATCGATATTAAACTGTCTGGGACAAAGAACGCATAAAACTGTTTCGCTTAATCATACTTCTTTCGAAATGACATTCCGATTCGCTTGAGGGTAAAATTAATGGCTTGGTCATTATTGAAATGGCTATGATTTGCGATGGTCATTGACTTATTTGGAGTGATTGTACGATACGTACATCGAATAGATAAATCAAACCGTATTACTAAACCTAAACATATAAATCATAGTAGATGTAATTGGATTTGAAGTTTTTTTTTCAATTAATGATTATTAAATCATATTTAGAAAATGATGTTGATCGTTGCTGACTTTAAATTGTTGCATTAAAGCCAGGGAATTGCTTTAACTCGAACATGAAAACTTCTGTATTAATTAGTACGACACCGACGCGCTTGGGGATATTCAGAGGCTATAACTTTCACGCTGCGCTTCCTCTCCTCTCTGATCCCCTTCTCTATTTATTAACGTCTGGTCTTGTTCGCCGGTCTGATAGTTCAACGGGATGTTTATTGAAGACGTTCATTTCCGTCAGCTGCGGAAATTGAGTTTAATCGTAATACGATATTGTGATGTTATGATCCGTGATTTGATATGTGGGATGATATATATGAAATTTAATTTGAACTACCGACTCGTGGAGTTATAACGTATCTATCTATTTAGTTAACACACAATAGGCCAGTTACATAGAATGTGTCCATTGATTGAATTACAAATTTTAAATCTAGTGTTAATATCCAGTATTAGATTAAGTAGTTTGAATAGGTACTCAATAGATTATGTTTATAATTAATAATTAATGTCTGATGACATTATCATAATAATTATTAAACCCAAGCTTATATGCATTTTTCTTAGTTTTTCAGGACATTGTATATATACAATCTCATTTTGTTTTTATTCAAGTTTAAAAACTAACAACATACATCCTGTTTCTTATCGGGGATTAAGATAAAATTATTTTTAGCATTAAATAGTTGGAATGAGCACATTTGAAAGTAGTTTATCTTATCGAAAGGACTAAGTAAATAAACAAATTGGACCTACTCAATATTTTTAATTCTGCAAGCAAAGTCTTCATATGAACGATCCATATTCGATAATCTTAAAGCATTGTTATCGGTTGTTGACACAGCCAAGATTATATCCAATTCTATCGCCATAGGACAAACCCCATATCCGCAATAGTCGATGTGTTCGCCGATTAAATTAACCCTGCAATAAAGTTCCTTATAAAAATAATCGCTTTTTTTCAATAGATGGCGTCTCACCTTCCCGGAACTTGTACCAGAAACTCCGGTTTACACTTATAGCGCTCGGTGAATGTATCGACCACAGTTTTAACACGAACACTTTCCGGTAAAGAATATTCAGGACAAGTATCAAATAATGTCTCTGACATTGTTAAATTTAATTAAACTGCACTCTCAACTTATTCGTTTAACGCGATTATTAATCGATGAACTTTAGAAATATGAATTTGTCAGGTGTCGATTTGTTTTTTGATGGAATGTAGGGTTACTATAGAATCGCATCCGTGGCATAGGAAACCGTATTAGCGGTGTAATTTATCTCAATGATTACTAATGACACCTATTTTTGAAGGTGATTAACTAATGTATAGATCACTATTGTCCGTGTGATGTCGTTATCAAATAATATTATAGATTTTGATATTTTAGTTGTGTTTTAGCGCCATTTCTGTTTTAGTAGCAAAACTCGTTATTAAATGAATCGAGTTTCAAACCATAACGAAAGCGTGTACTGTTCCTCTAGAGATAGGAGGCATTTCGACGTTGAATAAAAGGGGGCGCTGGTGAAATTTAATTTTTTTTTAAAATTTAGTATACGAACTGTGTATTGTTTATAGTAATAATAAATAACTTTTTCTCACTAGCAATCTCGTAATATGAAATTGCATTCATGGTTACAAGTATCATAATATTGCCATATCATTTGCTTATTTACTAAAGAACTTAATTCATTATATTCCTAGGAAAATAATAAAGATGAACAACGTTAGCAAAAATCATTCTTTTTATTTATTTATCATCATTATTATAAATATTGAACACAATTGAGTAGTTCGAAAAAGATGAGTTGCCTAAAACCAAATGCTCATTTTCATAATCTTTTTCTCTTTTATTTTTATTAAATGAAGCTGAAGTTGCAGTTGCAATTGAAAAACATAATGCACTGTCTAACTTTTCTAAAAAATGCTTCTCTTTTGGTTCTTTAGATTTCTCCTCGATGGAAATTTTGCCTTTATAAAAAACTTGATTCGATACTTCAAAGTTAGCCAGTAACACGAAAACAATGTCCTGTATAAAAACTTGCATCTGGTAATATCAAAAAATTTGGCACATTTTCCAGCATGGTATCGCAGAAAAAAACGAGAATGGTGAGGAGACACTAACATCTATGATATAATCTCTGATGAGACTTATTGAATTAGCTAACCCATTGCAAGTTTATGAACATATTTCACTTTTAAACATATATCCATAATATGACTAAAAAATTTAAAGCGGCTTCTCTATGCACAAATTACTTCATAACTGAACTATATCCATCGGAATTATCGGTCCACCACATGCAGTGATGTTACTTGGATTTTATCTAAATACAGTAATGTTTTACATCTTCCCCCATCATCTATCAACATCCTCTTTGACACGTCGTAACATTGAGAATGATCGGTCATGCACTGTGCTACTGCTAAGCCTTAGTGTCTATCATCTCTGGTCTCCTTCATCATATTACTTGATAATTTTAATCATTATCCCTGATTAGCATAGAAGTCAGCAACATAAGTCAGCATAAACTTATGTTGTGTCAGAAATCGTAGGTTTTTAATAATATGGCACTTTGATACATCTACTATGGAAATTGTTTTTGATCCCAACACCGTATCTTAACATTATCTTCAATAAACAACGTATCAACATTTTCCTCAACATATATCGACATAGTTATTGATATTATCGTTGATATTTATCAATATCGTACCAGATATCTCTATACAATCTTTATATATCCTGAAAGGAATTAGAGACTATGTTGTCCCTAATTCTTAAATTTCAGCAGTGTCACATCCTCCCTCAACATCGTCCCTATTATATATTAATATTGTCACTTATCTTTCTCAACATCATCTATCATCATCGATTGCGGGATTCGTTTACACTGTTTCTGACATCAACAAAATCTTTGACATCTCTCGATAAGTCAACATTCCTCCAATGTCAGTAACTTCTCAACATCTTCCCTATTATTTATCAAAATTCTTCTTGATATCTGTAATCATTGTGATATGCGCGAATGTAGTTTTTAATCGTCAACATGTCTCTACGCTATCAACATCGTCCTTAATATCGGTAAACGTAGTTCTCGATATTTCTCAACATCATCTCTGGTATATTTTGACATTCTTCCTGACATCCAACATCGTTGCTAGCATTTTCGTCTATGGGATTCTTCTAAGCTATTCTCGAGATCTCCCTACATAGTCCCAGTCATCTTTTAACACCATATTAGTTCTTTGGAAAATAACCTCACAGGCAACCTGAAACTCAAAAAGGAACGGTGTTGTAGTTTAAAACTTAGGTTCTCTTTTGCTTTGTTAACATTGTCTTTTATGTGTTTCAAGATTATACAATTTATCTATTAATATCATCCTTGGTACTCCTTGAACATCTTTTCCAACTTAATTTTTGATGCATCTAATATCCTTAAATATCATCTTAGCACGAGACTCGTTCCTAACACTCCTAACGCTGGTCTTGGTTTCCTCATAGAAAACTTTTTCTCTTATTTTATAATACTTTTGAAACGTCTCTATATAATTAATATCTTCTTCTGACTTGTCTACAGTTGTAAATGAACGCTAACTTCATTTTGCATAATTCGTCAGAGCGACAAGCACCAGCAATGCCCACGACCATTACTGTCTAAAATAAAAATACTTAAATCCTATGGTGAACTACAAACCGTATTCAAAACATGACTTGTGCCTCTCTAAAATTTTAATGGTAAGCTAATCAAAGAGGATTACTTTACAGGTAATTTAGAGAAATAGTCTCTACTTCTATATAGAACATCAGATCATACCAAGGAGTGGGCGTTCACTTACAATTAGATCAATACTTGGTGGGAGCTAACATTGAACGACGAGTAGCTCTTGTAATGGAAGACTAATGATCAAATAACACAAGTTGAATTAGAGCGACTTGTGATTGTAAATGTAAAGGAGAAGTACCAGAGTCTGCTAAAGTATCGATCTTCGTATAACATAGATAAAGACTGTTCGGGCATAAGAAATTTATTCCTTCAGACAGCATGTCGACAAGCCAGATAAAAGTGTTTCCAAACATTTTGATCGCTGTATTACCATTCATTCTTTGGCCACACCAGCTTAGTTGTATTTCTCGATAAAGTCCAGTATGGATTCAACTCCCTAATTCTTACCTTATAGCTATCTTTCTAATTCTCCTCCAATACTTCATTTCAGTCGCCCGCATTTTTTTGCTCTTTTGCTGTTAACACCCATGTCTCGCAAGCAAAAGTTAATATAGGGTTGTAGATTTTTTTGAACACATTGCGTTTTCTGTGATATTGCTAATTTGGTCAAAAGTTCATGGCATGGCAAATTTTTAATGTTTTCTCAATTCTATTACTATCTATTGCATTTTCTTCCATTACACTGTATTACCACTCCTAGATATTGAAATGATCTAACCTGTTCTAACTCTACACCCTCTGTCTTTATTCTAACTTGTTCCTGTTCATCCCTTATCACCATCACCTTGGTTATGTTGTTGATTTTCATTCTATAATCTGCTAGTGTTTTGTTCCAAATTTCCATTTTTTCACAAAATCACCTATTTGCCATCAACACCACATCGTCTGCAAACGCTCCCTTGAAGATGAAGCCCAACAAGTAATTTTTCATTTCCGCTGAGCATCTCTTAAGGATTATTTTATCCATGAATATTATGAAAAGCACTGGACCAAGTTGCATTAATCCTTCCTTAATTATGAAAGGTTCAGATTTCATATTTTTGTGTCATATTATCAAAAAATAAATACGGCGCGACGTCTAGAATATGTAGAAGGAAGAAAAATAGGCTCTTAACAGAAAGGTACAAGAAATAGTAGAACATTACAACAAAAACGAGACCAGAAGGCTTTATATTAAACTGAAATAAAGTACGACAGGTTTTAGACCTAAGGAAATGTTCTTACGGAGAGAAATGACATTCTGTAACAATGTAATTGAGAGTGAACCGACCATCAAATACTGAACACCTCGCAGCAGACCCCTACATTGACCACTTTCCGTCAGATTAAATGAAGCAACCTTAGGCACAGCTACAGCAAGACTGGACGGAGAATTAATATTGATACTGGAATACGGTGGAAGCAGCTACCTGTAGCTAGCTATACAATTAGATTCCGTTGAGTGCATTGGTTTTGAAATATCGCATGTATGCGCCTATGTTGATAACATAGCAAGTATTTAAAAAAATAAGAAATCTCAGAGACGATGAAAAAATATTTAATTTTTATTTTCGGTGCTACACGTGTTTCGATCGAACTATGCGATCTTCATCTGGCACGACTAGAGACAAAGTAAAAATAATTTTCATTATCATATCAGTTAATTACAAAAAACAAACAAATTAAAATTAAATTTACCGTCAAGAGTTGTTGATTGAAGAACAAATCATCAGGTTGAAATATTTGACAGTAAAAATTGTACGGTTAAAATTAGCGTCAAACTAAATAAAATTATCACTAAAACTATATTTTAAAAAATACGCATTAGACGGAGTTAAAATTAAAAATTCTTTAGTTTAATCGTATGGAAATTGATGGCAGGGTAGGTGTATGATTGACAAGAAAGGACTGATTGTAGATGGAATTTTCTGGTTTTGACGAGATTTACAATCGCATGCGCGTTTGTGGGAAGAGAAAACAGGACAGGCAGCAACAAGAAATTCAAATGGAAATGGTATGCATAACAAAATGCATATAACAAA